AGGAATTTCAATAATAATTTCCAATAATGATTGTTATTTTTTTTTTTTTTTTTGAAACCCAACATGTGGCCATCCTTTTCAAATAGATGCGAACATATTATAAATGCATTAAAATTTATAGCTCATAACTTTAAATTGAGTTTGCATTTATTGCTTTTACAAAGAATTTATCGATTTCAGGCTTGTTGAGTGTTCCATAAGTCATTGCACTTAATATTAATACGCTGTCAAATTTATATAGGAACACCTTAATATTATAAAATTAATAAATGTGTCCAAATTTAAGGTACCATTTGGGTAGGCGCGTCAAGAGACAAGCGACCACTGAAACGACCCCAAGGTCGAGTAGGACGACAGATGCATAAATGTTACGCTTGGTACATTTCGCAAGCTTGAGAAGTGTCGCACGACACTTACAGGATAACCATTCGAGGGATCGATCAGCGTTGCCAGACCAACTGTTTTCACGTAGATCTACTGTTTTTGTCTCTAGCAAATTTTGTTCTTAATTTATTAAGTTTGCCTCATTCTTCAGCAAATGGTTAAAGAATATTTTCTCTAGTAAATTTTCTGCAGTAAAAGCAGCGTAATAAGCATCCACTACTTTAGGTTGGCTCCATAAAAAAAACATCAAGATAATCATTTTTTAAATTTAAAATGAAACAAAGAATTAATAGGGCATCATAAAAAGAACATGCACACTACGATTTTGAATTATCTGATTCAGACTGATCTAAAAGAAGTAGGTACCTATTATTTTTCATTGTTCTTTTTTTTGTTTCCGTACGTTAAGTATATATTAAAAATGTTATTATTTGTTTTTATTCTTTGTTTACCTTTTAATTTGGGTCGACAAAAAGTTTATTTTTCATTTCTTATATACTTGTTTTTTTATTTACTACACTGCAAATTTTAATTATTTCCCCCTGTATTAAAATCTACTGTTCAGATCTACGGTTTTTTTTTACCCATACTGTTTTAAAATCTGGCAACGCTGCCTAGATCAAAAGAAATTTCCAACCGAATCACCCCCAAAAAAAAGCGATGCCGAGGACAGTGACCTCGACTGCGATACGCAGCAAAGCTTTGCACCGAGAAGTGTCTCCAGGAAGTGTCGTCTTGACGACACTTCTCGTGTCGCGCCGTGCGAAATGTGTTTCATATAATTGTATGTATTTTAGATGTGAAGCGACACTTCTCGGTCGCGTCGGCGGTTGTATGTCGTGTCGGCGGTCGTATGTCGTGTCGGCGGTCGTCTGTCGCGCCTACCGAAATGGTACCTTAAGGGTTTAATAATAAAAATAGGACTAGCTACATCCCATTGGGTTAAACGATAGATGATGTGTTTATAGGGTCTAAATAGTGTAAACACCAACGGCGGCTTCAAGACGTATTTACTACTATTTAGTAAAATTATTAATCAAAATATTGATAATTTAATCGAATAAAATACACCAATAAATACCGTTAATAGTAAAAAATATATACAGGGTGATTCATAACTATTGGGACGTAGGCTAAGGGCAGGTTATTTGGACCAAAATATAGCGAGAAGTTTTTGAGAATATTTTGTTGTTTCTTTGGAAATTATGTGCCTAAATTTCACGAAACAAATCACGGTACGTCAGTCAGTGAAAATGGATTATGTTCCAAAAGAGGCTGGAAAAATATTGACATCTCTACTCTAACTTCAAAAAAAATGTTATGTTGATCACTAGCAAAACAAAACTTTTATTTTTTAACGAAATTTTTAGCGTATCCTCGTACGTTACATTGTTAGTAGGTAAATACTTCCCTCTTGAAAACTGCAAGCTGCAAGATACAATTAAACGACCAAATGTGGCTATTTATACGACATGTACGTACGCTGTACAGCATCTGTTTTCAGAATGTTATTTGTTATCTGCCATTCTGTACTGATTCTCTTTTCTAATCAGCATGATTTAAGAGTATATGTATGCATGTGCAACATTCCGCGTGTAATCGGTCAGATGTTGATCGGGGGCCGCGGCCGAGGGCACCTAATCCTCTCTAAGAAATGCCAGGAAAGGTTCAGGGACGTCCTTGGGAATATTTGAATCGCTCCATGATAAATAAGCGTAAGTCCATGTATTAACGACAATAACAGCGCCAGATGGCAGTAATATCAAAAGTTACAAAATTGTAAAGGTTTTTCTTTTTTTTGTTTCTTATTTTTGTTTTGTTCTAATTATGTGTGTGTGAAAAAAATAGTTTCGAATATGGTCCATATAATTTATCTATTTCTGATGTTACTGCAATAATAAAAAGAAATCAGTTCAATAAATGGCAACACTTGTGGCAGGAATATTGTTTTACAAACCCAACGAGGTATACGACTCTTGGTACAAGCATTATAAAATACCGCGAAAGTACATATCGACAATCATTAGGATGAGATTTGGTCATGCCTGTTATCCTAGCCATTTATACAAAATTAAAATCTCTTCTTTAATTGTACTAAAAACAAAAAATTATCTGACAAGCTATATAACTACCTACTTAAATGCAAATATGCTCCCCTTGGAATATCCAAAGTTTATAGTCCTCCAATTCCACAAACATTTATGACTATTTGATTAATTTTTTAAGGGAATCAGGTATACGCTTGTGATTAGTACTTCTCTTAGACTCGTTACCTTCGAATCGAATTTTCCATGTGTTATCCCCAAGAGCCACTCGTAAATTTTCTAATATTCTACTCAAAATCGATGTACTTTTTAACCCTCTTCGAGGCTAGTATGCGAAAATGGGGCACCTAAATCGGTGATAATAATTATCTTGAATGTCATAAGTCTTTAGTTGTTGCTAAATAGAGAATTAAAATCCCTTTACAATGCGGTGCTACACGTTCCCTATTTTTATTTAAAAATTTAAAAGGAGTAGCTACCATACCGAGGAGAGTGAGCTGAGGGGTAAAGTTGTTGCGTTAAAAATTTTAATGAAACGTTAATAAATTAGATTTTCCAATCAAATCATTGATTATATCATATATCATTTTTATTTGCAGGTTTAATGCGAGTTTTGTAATGGCAGACACGAAAAAAATGCAGACAATACCGTTTGGACTAATGGAAAATATAAATTAGTGTTTGAGTCAGGGGCGGTTTCTACATTAGTTCATTTGTGCAGTGAAAACCCAGTTAAATTTCATAAAAACACATTATTTTAATATTAAATAAGAAACATAAAAATATAAATTTAATATTTTTATTTTCATACGTTTTAATTTATATTTTTTTGTACATCATTGTCCTCTGGCTGATCGCGTCTCTGTGTCACAGTATATCTAAGTATACTGTGTCTGTGGCGCATTATAATGAGTGAGCCTGATACGAGTGAGACTATATGCCGAATGCATATAGCTAAAAAGAGAAGACAACAGATCCTTCAAACTGTCAAAGAACACATTAATTGGCGCGCCGCTCACAAACAAGGTTGCCAAACCAGTGTTGTCAGTCTAGTACAATTCACAATTCACAATAGCTACGTTCGTTTGATCTGTCTACAGGCACAGCATAATTTTGTAAATAACCATAGGAATAGAGTAAGGGTTCTATTTTAATATTTTATCATTCCATTTCTTTTATTTTGCATAATAATTATTTTTCTTTAATTATTATATTTGACCATAAATATGAGACACGAGAAACTGGCTGAACATTAGTTCTTTTTGGTCTTAATAGGTTGGCAACATTTTTCGTTAGAAATTTGTCAGTTCTATGATCGAACTGTCACTTTTTTTTTTAAAAACTTTTTTTCGGCCCTTTCCGATTTGATTTTTGGAAGAAGATAACTGTTGGGATTTAGCTCCGAATTGTGTTAAATAGTGTTGAGTAATAATTAGTTTCCGAGCTTTTTGTTTTGTTCAAGGGCCCCCGTGCCAATGTTTATGTTACTTTTATTTTGGATGAACCTGTTTTTTGACCAAAATCTGAGGTAAGTGAGACGCCGAGAGATACTTTCTTCCACGTGTTGCTGGATCCCGGTAGCAGAGAAAACCCTCAAAAGAGGTAAGTCATTTCCTTTGCTGCTCCTGCATTTTCTTTGTCTGGCAAAACACTCATATTTTAATATATGTAGGGTTCTTCCCGTGGATGAACAAGAGAGCCACATCAACCGTGGGTGGATATTCTCAGAAAGCTACAACTTCTTATTTTATTTGCAAATAAAAGGAATTTTAAAAATATATTTTTTATTTGGCATCTGTGACAAATTGTGAAAATGATTAAACTTACAATAAAAACTAAAAAATGGTAGGTAAAGTTTCATATAAATTTTTTTATACAAAAATGAATGTCAAGCTTTCTACATAACCTGATATATATTTAAAAATAATTTCAAATTATGAAGAAAAGTCAGTTTATTAACTAATATTGTTTATAGATGGTTTTCAACGTATTAAAAACAAAATAAATATCACACTAACTAAAATATTCATTTATTAATAGTTGTAGTGCTTGAAAACAGTATGATGTTGATAATAATAACTACATTTAATACAAACTCAAATAATAAAAACAGCGATATTGACTCTTGTACAAAGTTTTGATCCGAACTTACATATCATAAAATTATTGGAAAAAGTGAACACCCATTTTAAATTAGCACAAGCCGCGACTGTTGAGATAAACTTGTTTTTGAAATCTTCTGCTTTCGCTGCAATACTTCGAGCGTATATAATTTGATCACCCTGTATAAAAATAAATAAAAATAACGAAAAAATCTTATTAGCTCAAAGCGGCGGCAAATCATTGATTCATTCACTCGAACCGAGGCAAAAATGTAGTCATCAGAAAATCGTATTTTCCCAGAAAATGTAATTTTCTCGAAAAAAAGTTTTCCAACAAAATTTTCCGATTTTCTCCAAATCGATTCGTTGATTTGCGGAAATCCCCACCTACACGTCTTTTCACAGGCACAGGCTCGTGGCACGGTTGTTCATTTATTTGCCAACCGGTATTGGTATTTCAGTTGGTCGCCAACAACCGACTGTATAACCACGTTGTAGACAGCGTGCGGAAAAGTGCGCAAGCGTGCGGAGATAATTCGAATTCGAAATAGTGAGCGCCAAGAAAACTTTGAAAGTCTGTTTCTAGTTACAAAGTTCGATATAATTGATTTGCATGTGTGATTATGAGATTAATGTGTAATGTGACGTAATTTCAAGGTTTTATTTTTGATTAGGTAAGGATTAGTTCGATTGTGTTTGTTTTATTTCTATGTCGTTTATAAATAATTATGTATTTTTATTAAGGTACATATTTAATCTGACCCCTTTTCGGATATGAATAGGTATGCGAATAAGGGTAAAACAACGTATCAAAAGTATTATTTAACTATTAGTGAACAAATGATTATAAAATATTGCCAGGGGAAGGAAGAAAAATAATAGAAATGAATTAAATTATCATTGAAATGTAATATAATTTGTTTTGAAAAATATTTTATGTTAAAAATCGGTCAAAATAGTGTTAAATATTTATAAACCTGGTATATAATAAAATTATCAAAAAATTAGTTAATTACATACCTTGGAAAAATTATTGAATTAAGTATTCTATTTTCAAAAACTTCTATGATTATATCTAGTTTAAACCTCTAATTGGCTTTTGCAATTATTGTTCGTGAAAAAAATATTAAATAGGACCCATTGCTAATTGTAATCCGAGCTATATATGATTTGAAATATTTTTATTCAACATTTTTAAAATTAAAAAAAAAATAATTTTTGTTTCCATATTATTCAATTTTTGGTATTTTTATTTTTTCTTTGCTAAATAATTCTGGATATGTAATTAATTGTCCTTTTAAATGTTTATTATTAGACTTTTAATTAGGAACATCTTAAACTTTTTTAAACGCCAGTGTTTAGGAAAAATCAGGGTGTCCAGTTAATTTCACACTCCAGTGTAATTTTACTACTTTAAGTCTTCTGCTTAACATTTTATTTTAGAAATTCTCAGTCACTGGGGTTCATCTCCTGGGTCATAACAATTTTGCTATCATTCATTTTTAAATAGACTAGAGTTTTCTCGAAAACGATAAAATTTATTGTCGCATGCGGAGTTCCACAAGGTACAGTGCTTGGTCTGATTTTATTTTGTTTATAATGTCAACGCTATATTTTAATGACCGGTAGTTTTCTAGTTTCGGTGAAATTTACTGAATGAAAGTAACTGGAAATATTTGTAGCTTGCGTCTAGGTAGTGCAATTTAATATTTATAAAATATAATTTTGTTTTTTAATCTCTAATTAAGCTTGATGAAAAGTATAAGTATGAAATTACTATTATTAGTTTGCAGCTTGTGTTTAAGTCTTTTTTTTTTGTATTAATTATGACCGAGTAATGGGAAAGCATATTTTTGTTAAAGAATAATGTTTGAAAATTCGTTTTGCCGAAATCAAATTTTTTTAACTATTTTTTATTTGAATTTCTCGTTTTTATTTTATTGTTCTAGTTTTCCTTTCAATTTTAGAGAAAATAATGTTTTCATAGTCTTAAATAACTTTTACTAATAATGACACAAATAATTTTTTAAATAAAATATGCTATTTTTTCAATTAATATTACCAATAGTTAGGATCGTGGCACTACTTAAGACAAAAATGCTTTTGTGGCCTGTTTATCAATCATGTTTTAACAGAAAAAAAATAAAAATAGTATTTGCCACGTTGAAGCATGTAATTTTCAAGAATATATCATCGCCCTTCTCACGAAGTGACATAAGTAGCAAATACAGTCTGTTCACTATACTTACGCCGGTTTCGGATTAAAAATTAAATTAAATAATAATGGAGAATCTTTTGTATAATTGAGAGCAGAATTAAACTTCTAATATGGTTATTATAAACCTAATAATAATTTTATATTACACTTCACACAGAAAATATGGTCTATGTATAATAAGAGGGTTATTTAGCTCAGATTTCGTTTAGCACATTAACAAAACTAGAAATTCAGGATTTTTTAACTCCATTGTACTCTAAATTAGAAGAGATTCAATGAAGATAATTATAGAAAATATTCATTCAAGATATTCATAGACGATATTCATCCAATATATTCATATAAGATATTTATATAAGGTATTCATAGAAAATATTTATTCATACAATATATTCATAGAAGATTTTCATAAGAGATATTCATAAAATATATTCTAAGAAAATATTCATTTATACAATATATTCATAGAAGATATTCATAGATGGATGTTTATATAAGATATTCATAGAATTCGTAGAATACATTGATAGAAGATATTCATAGAATATAGTCAAAAATATATTCATATAAGATATTTATATAAGGTATTCATAGAAAATATTCATTCATACAATATATGTATTTATATAAGATATTCATAGAATATAGTCTTGAAGATATTCAAAGAATATATTCATAGAAGATACAGTCTGTTCGCTATACTTACGCGGGTTTCGGATTAAAAATTTTATGAGTATTTCTAGATAAGTACCCGAAAGTTTGACCTGTTCTTTGGGGAAATATCAACTGGTTAAATGAAATGAAAAATAATGTACAACTTTTTAATTAAATAATAATTGAGAATCTTTTGTATAATTGAGAGCAGAATTCAACGTCTAATGTGGCTATTATAAACCTAATAATAATCTTATATTACACTTCACACAGAAAATATGGTCTATGTACAATATGAGGGTTATTTAGCTCAAATAAAATATTTTCTAACATAAAAATTTGTTCCATGTAGAGAATTCCAAATGAAAAATAAAAAAATTGAACTTGTCAACAAAAATGAAAATCAGTCATTATTATCCAAAATATCATAATCGTCATCATCATCATCACTGTCATCACCATTAATTGTTATTATGATTGGACTTATTTCGTTTATTTTACTTTCACGAGTCCACCAATCTTCTTTAGTTTCTCGCACTTGGATATACAGTTCCGCCACACTTCTGGAGTTGCAATTGAAAGTGCTTTTCGCCAAGTTTCCCGAACTGCGTCGTCACTATAACCATTAGGCCCAATATGGTTGTCATAATATTGTTTTGCTATTCCCCATATATATTCGATGGGATTAAACTGGCAATGATACGGTGGCAGACGTAAAACTTGATGACCGTAACTTTCAATAATCTGATTCACAACAAAGGTTTTTGGTTTTACGTGTATATTTGCCAAGCGTAATAATTCTGATTTTAATATATATTGAGGAAATGGTATATGTTCCTTTGTCAACCATTCTTTAATTTTATCAACAGTCCAAGAATTCGTTGGACTTTGGTTTAATACTTCAGAATGGTAAGGTGCATTGTCTAAAATAATTACGCTGAGCTCACTTAAACCTGGGAGAAGTTTTTCAAGCAACCATTTTACAAACATTTCTGTGTTCATATTATCGTGATAGTCACTGAATTTTGATTTAGATGAAAATATTAAATCAGCACCTTCTATAAAACCCTATTTCCCTCCTGCATGTAAAATTATGTGTCGCTTCCCTTCTCCATCGGTATGTTTGATGGACTTTACGTTATCATCTTGCCATATTCTCTTGGTTGCACCCCTAGAAAATATCCATGTTTCGTCTAAATATATAAAATTCGCCCCTTCTTCTTTAAATCTAGAACATTTTCTTAGAAAGTTAAATCTCTTGTGCACGACAGAACTTCTTTCACAAAGGGCCTTTCTGTTATCCTCCTTTTGAATTTTGAAATTTTGTTATGGCAAGGAAAATTATTAGAAATGAATTGCTGTATTTTTAATAATAAATAATTGCAAGTTAAACTTTTTTTGCGACTTGCCGTAAAAGTAGCATCTGTGAGCTTTGATTTGAGACAATTTGTGAAATATTTTTATTTAAAATAATTTAATGTGTCTTTATTATTAGTTTGCACAAGATATAGAGCTAATATTTTTTGTTTACAATAATAGCGATATTTACAAGTACGTATGCTTAGTTTTAAGCGAAAATATCTCAAAATAGATAATAACCACATTCGATAATAGGTAATAAAACAATTATGAATAAATTTAACAAAGTTTTACTGTAAAATCAACTATTTTTAATTGCATCATTGTTCTTGATAACCTTCGATATCTTAGTTTCACCTAATGTTTTGAAATGCAATATTTTATTTTGTTATTTTAAACTTGAACATCGAGAAATTATAGGTACTATATTAATTTTTTGGTAAACAAATAAGAAATTAAACAAACAGAATATTCATTAAAAATTTGCTGATAATTAAACGATATAAAAATTCAGTTATTGAACCTTGAAATGAACACGAACTTATTAAAATTCACTTTTAAATATTATCTATAATTGTTTTAAAATTGTACTTTAATCTCGACTTTATGAACACAGTGTATTTCATATATTGTTAAATAAGTTTTTAAATTTTAAATGATAACAAAAAAGGCTCGTTAAATACAAATGTAGCAGAATATAAATGCGCAAAAAGAAAATAATTAGCTGCTTTTCTAAAAACTTTGATGGAAAATAACAGAAAATTTTTTTCACAATCAATATGCCTCTTATACTTCTTTTATCAAAGGATACTAAAAGTTTGAAATAGCAGCACATAATTGAAAGTTTACAGAAATCTGTGAACCATAATAGTGAGATTTACATTGTAAAATGTTATCCAAAGTATTCTTGCTTTGGCTATTATTGTCCTACCCTCATTACTGACTTTTGCACAACTGGGTCCATGTTTACTAAAAAATAATGTGTTTTACATAATTTTATATAAACTATTTAAATGTACATACCATTTCATAGGTGCAAATGCAAAGTTTTTCATTATGAGTATATCAAATTCAAATGGATGATTCATTTTTCCGATTCACACTTTTAAAAATTAACAAATTTTTTACTTACTTCTTATTTCATAGTATTTACAGTTGGGTACAAAATACATGACCATTTTGAAGCAGTCTTAGAATGGTCTTAGACACTGAAACAAAATATAAAACATAAATTAGAGTCGTTAAACTAAATTATAGGTAAATAAAACAACATAACCTCAAAAATACTTTTATTTACCTTGCCTTAAAGAAGTTTTTCGGGAACAGTCGTTGAATTGACACACATACTTCCAATTTATTAAAGTCGCAATTCATAATTAAACACATTTTTTTAAATAAGCACAATTAAAATAGTCTTATCATGTTTCATAGAGGAATAATAAT